AAAAAAAAAAAACCTCACTGATATTCTGACTGAGATTGCACTGAATTCACAGTGTGATTTTGGAAAACCGACATCCAATTATAAAATATGTCTCTCCATTTATTCAATTCTTTTATTTCTCTCAGAATTTTAGTTTACCTTCATAATCAGTTTGACATCTTGCCTGTTAAATTAATTCTGAATAGTCAATATTTTTTGCTTTTATTATAAACGGGCCTTATTTCCCACTATGTTTTCTAATTGTTTCCAGTTGTACATAACTATAGTATTGATTTTTAAAAAATCTTACCAAAATCCTTGATTTCATTTCCTGATTATCTATAAAGAGATAAAAACAGATTACAATTTAACTGAATCTTACTAACCAATTTTTAAATGGTCCACCAAACATACAAATAAATAANTAGGCTCCTACCTTTAACTTCCTTATTTATTCTATGAATATCTTAATTTCTTAGCATTAAGGAATATAAAAATATTTTATTTCATAAATATGTATAGTAAAGAGAAAAATAATCTCAAATTTAAAATAAAGCCAGCATCGCACTTAGCTGTAGAAAGGAAATGCTCTATTTACCATGGTAGACACACGAGAATGATTGGGGGTTTTCAGTTACTAACTCTGCAATCAACTGGGCTTCATAACCTGATGAAAATATGATCTTTGCCTCAGAAGATTAAAATTGCCAACATTTGATTGTCCTATTATTACCTACCACATCCTAGATTTGAATACTGGGACCGTAAGTAAGTCAATAAGCCAATCAAATAGTAACAAATTTGAAAGCCATACAAAGATGATCAGACAAACCAAATCAAAGTCTAGGACAAAGTAATCACTCAATACTATCCAAAAAAAGTTTAATTACATAAGACCAAGAGATCGCACAAATGTAGAAAAAATTGAAATGCTTAGAAAAGCATTGATGCCCCACGCTAAGTGCAAAATAACCTGTTCGCCTGTGGAGAAGCAGCCACTCATTTATTAAGCTTGAGGGTCAGTAAATGACTTTTAAAATCAAACATTGTCCCCAACTCAAGAAAGATGAAAATTTTAAAAAGCCCTAATTTATCAAAATAAGGAACAAGAAAGCATCCTGAAGAAGCATTTGTTGCAGCCAGGACACAGTGGAGAAATAGTTTTCTCATTCTTCCCATTTCAAGTTTTTACAACTTGTCTTAAAAACATTTCAAAGCCAAGATTAACTATGTTTTTATTATCCACCACTTTAGAATATTCATGCCTCCCATTAACATGGACACCCAAAGTTCTAAGAGATGTCTTAAGTTAAAATATGTCTATTACAGAGAACACTTTCTGAATGATTCAAACACCAAGGATACAGCAAAGGGCTTTGGCGAGGGATCCTGCCAGCAGAGTTTCTGTATACTGACCCTTTATGTCACCTATGAATAAGAAAACACATTAAAAAGGGAATTTTTAAGTACTTCTTAAACTAAAATCATTTAATACTTTCCTGAACTAAGTATGCTTTCAAACCAAAGCATTCTTCATGAACTGAATCAAATGACATTTTCAAACTGGGTTTAGAAACATAGATAGCAATTTGTTCTCAGTAATGCTTAAATAAGCAACTTTTTAACTTTTTTTCAACTTAAAATATCCTGGTATTGAGGGGCTGGGGAACAGGCAGGGGAGTTATTTAATGGGTACAGAGTCTCAGTTTCAGAAAATGAAAAAGTTCTAGAGATGGATGGTGGTGATGGTTGCACAACAGTGTGAATGTACTTAACACTATTGAATTGTGCACTTAAAATGGTCAAAAAGATCAATTTTATGTTCTGTGAAGTTTACATTAAAAATTTTTAAAACTGGTAAAATGGTAAATTTTT